CCCAAAGCTGCAAAATGGGCGGAGTGGCCAACTCTGGATCATGTATCACGTACCTTCCAGAGCAGATTTCTCGCTCCGGAAGCAATCTTTTGCGGGGAAAGGGTTGGCCTAGTGTGGGGGCCCACATTAGTATGCCTTTGAATCTCGTGAACCCTCACTTTGGGTGGACGGTGCCTTTAACTGCCGTTTTGCTAGCAAAGACGTTGAAAAAGAAAAACTGCGATAAAGGACACGGCGGAAATTGAAGAGATACCGCACTGCTGAGTACCTTTCACTGTTTGTTGTACTCTTCGCATCGTCACTTTCCATCAAGGACACTCTAGAACATCAACCCTATTTTGTGCACATAAACGGGTTCGATTGTTGGAAACTGAATGTGTAATGAAAAAGGGGCATTTGGAACACTAAGTTCTACTTTCAAGAAGTTGAACTCACTGAAACAGCACTTCACAAGCGAAAGTAAGAACATGACGGAGAGAAACTTTTGACCTGCACCACTTGAGCGAGAGTGCCAATGTAGGAGGAATAGCAGAAAAGAACTAAAGACTATTTTCTTACTAGGATAGAGATAAGCGCACAAGGAGTAGTTTAACCACTTCGAGTCTCGTTTTTCTTTTCCAAAGTGTATGTACAGTACCGCTCACATTTTTTCAAAGATAGAATGCGAGTGTAGGCGGATTACGCGACGGTCGCATGAGTGATGTGACGGTCGCCTAATGTATGGACATCCCATCGCGTGGCCATATCTCTCTTCAGAGTGGACGAATTCTGAATCCAAAGCCACCATTCGACTCAGCTCGGCGCGGAGCACTTCTGATATATTGGAAGTGGGGGTACGATGTCTTCGATATTTGTTTCCAGTTTTCTCAAATTCTTCTGCGGAGGTCTTTTCGCGAAGATGTGAAGCAGCACCTATCCAACATAGAAGATTCCACTAAGTACTATTCGATAAAACGTTCTTGTAGATTACTAAGCGCCAAGCAGGCTCAGACTTCTTTACAAAGGAGATAGAAGCGTTGGTGAATTCTGGAAAAATCACGCGTTTCTAAATTCTACGAGCCATAACTTCTTTCGGAATCAATCTATTCCGAACCAAAAAAGCACTGTGTTCAGCTCATCAAGGCGAATCTTTCGGTACAGCACGTTCTTCATATTCCATTTTCAGTATTCTTGCATTTTCCTGCGGACCTCTCTTCGCAAAGGTGTAAAGCAGCGTGCATTGCCCCTTACAGACTATCACGAACTCTTAGATGGTACTTTTTCTGTAGATTTTAGAGCGCTAAAAAGTAGCCGTAGGTCCCTTTCCAAAAGATAGAGGGGCTGGTAAACTACCAAACTTGTCGTCTCAAATTCTACACGTCATAGCCCTCAAATACGAAGCTATCTTGTTGAGCAGATGTGAGTTTCGTAATCAGCAGGTCTGATAACCGCTACGAGCAAGTTTCCACAGAACCTTGAGTTACCTGATTTTTTTTCTCGTTTCACGCTCTGAAGCTCGCCAGTGGGTTTTGGTCGAAATGTTGATGATCTTGGTTTGAAAGGAAACTCTGCTCATAGAGGTTTTCGAACACGCTGTTTATGAAAATCGTGGTCTCTGTCAAGTACAAAGTCTTTTTGCAGAGATATGGTGAGGTAATTATAACGGAGTCGAAAGCTCGTATTTCGCCCGCATCTATTGCTTACCTGTCAGAAAACTTGCCTGCTTGCTTTTAAAAGTTGAAGTTACTAGAACTGTGCTATCAAATGGTACATGCCTCAGGCTCCAACCTGTAATGATCGCCGAGTTACGAGCCTGCGAAAACACGTCCTCATGCATTTTGCCCAAAATGTTAAGGTCGCATACTTCGTCGAACTTCCATCGTAAGCGGTTGCATAACACGGCGATCGCATCTTTTCATATCGCTTGATCATATTGTTGTGTTAGACTTGGTACTTACATAAGTCTGAGCTCTAGCCACAAAGTTCTTGTGATATTCAAATGAGCACCTGAAGCACGCGCAACAACCATATTCGATACAGTGGGTTCCCCTAGGGCGAAGTGAACGTAATGTTAGCTTTGAATATAATACAATCACTCATGGTAGAAGTTCGACGAAGTATGCGAACTTAACAAAACTTAACAAGCTTTTGGGCAAAATGCATGAGGACGTGTTTGGGCTCGTAAATAGGCAATTGTTACAGATTGCAGCCTGAGGCATGCAGCATTCGATAGCACAGTTAATATTAGCTTTGACCTGCAAAAGCACGCAGACATGTTTTCTGAGAGGAACGCGAGAAGTGCAGGCGTTACGAATTTTCTTAACTCAGTCACAGTAACCTGCCCATATCTGTGCAAAAAGACCTTGTATTCCTCAAAGACCACGATATTCGTAAACAACGTGTTCGAAAACCTCTATGAGCGGAGTTTTCTTCCAAACCAAGATCATCAACATTTCGACTAAAACTCACTGGGCAAGCTCAGCGCGTGTGTTAAGTTTTGCCGATCCGCTGCCTTCAAGGCGAGTACAATTTGGGACGAGAAGATTTTTCCAAATTCACCGGCCCTTCTACCTCCATTGGAAAGACGCCTGTAATTATTTTTTAGCGCTCCATAATCTACAGAAGAAGTACTATCGAAAGGTCCTTGCTGGAGTCTACTAGGGGCAATGCGCGCTGCGTTACACTCTTGCGAAAAGATGTGCACAGAAGATTTGAGAATACTGAAATTGAAATATGATGAGCGTGCTGTACCGAAAGATTAGCCTTGATGAGCTGAACACAATGCTTTTTTCTGATTGGGATCAATTCCGAAGGAAGTTATGGCTCGTAGAATTTGGAAACGCGTCTTTTTTCCAGAATCCACCAACGCTCCTATCTTTTTTGGAAAGAAGTCTACGGCTACTAATTAGCGCACGAAACCTACAAGAACAGTACTATCGAACAGTCTTACTAGATCCTCTTATGTTAGATAAGCGCTGCGTTACATCTATGCGAAAGGACCTTCGCAGAAAGAGTCGAGAAAACTGGAAATGGAATATCGAGGGCATGCTGTACACCAAAAGATTTGCCTTGACGAGCTGAAGACAATGCTGTTTCCAGATTCAGATTACATTCATTCCAAAGGAAGTCATGGCGCTGCGTAGTTTGCGTAATTCCCATTATTCAGCGGAATATCTGCGATTTCCGCAGTCCGCAACTCTCCCGGAATGATGCGGGGTTCCGGGAAAGTTGCGGACTTTCGTGGAATTCCCGGATTTCCGCGAGGTTCACTGAAATTTTGCAGATCCGGTGAGCGGTATTACACCTTGAGCTGATTTCAAAACAAATCATCAGAGTGACTCTCTACCATGCTCCTACAGTATTCCTACGATGTGGCATCAGCAGCAAACCAATGGCAGTATTGTTATCAGCACACTGGACATCCAAACAAAGAAAAATCTGCAAAATTGAGCGAAAACCTACTGGTAACAATATACCTACCTACCCGACAGATTGTGGTAGATCTATATACCAGATACCGTCTCACCAAGCTGAGTTGAACGGTGTCCTTGGATTCAGAATGCGTCTATTGTGAAATGGGAGGGGGGTTGTTTCATACTGCCGCACTGACTGCAGCAGACTGCACTGACCACAGCAGACTGCATCAGACTGCTGCATCATTTCCTAAAAGAGAAAACAATTGCGATTAAGTCAAAACACTGTGATTTGCCTACGAAGTTCATAGTTTTCTACTCAATCTTCTCAATCAAATTTTGGCGATTGTTTTTCTTTGATATGCTCATATTTGTTTTGAATCTTTCTGTTATTGCATATCCTGTTTTACTCTCGCTCGTGTTGTTTTTGGGGTCTAGGCATATATTATTGTTGATTATTTGGGCTACAAGCATTTATCCTCTCCACCTTTACGAAAGGACGCAGCGATTGTGCGGTCCTTGCGGTCAGTGAGGTCATACAGTCTGTTGCAGTCTGCTGCAGTCAGTGCGGCAGTCTGAAACAACCCTCACCAAGCTGAGTTGAACGGTGTCTTTGAATTCAGAATACGTCTGTTGTGAAATATGGCGATGCGAAGCGGATTCCCACGGACTCCGCCGCACTCCGGCGCTCAGCAGCGCACTCTGGCGGGCTTTTTGACGAATTATGAGCGGTATTGTAGGTTTCAGAAATAAGCAGCGAACGGTTTTTAGTTGAACTAAAAATAAACCGAGCACATGTCATCGATGCTTTGGTTTAAATCTGAGCAAAGAGTCTTTGATTTCTGGGTAAGAGACATACACGTAGAGCAAAATGGGTCGCGCAATTTTGAAACGCTAAAAGCCGGGCATACAACACGCAATTTCGTCGCCTCGCGGTTCTACTACAGGCAACTGTCACAAGTCCTTGCACACCACCCATCTTGCATTTCGGTTGTGATAGTTAGTTGCGATTGCTCACGTCAGGGTATCACAACAGATACGCAGGGTGATTGGCATTGATGTTGTATTTGTCAGCTGTCCTGATATGAGAATCGCGAGTCGATGAATTCGCGCGATGTATGTTCGGCCCCTTACTTACGTGAGTTATAAAGATGTGCAAGCAACTTGTTCATAGTAAATGATAAAATTGTCATTCGAAATTTTGATAGAATTACATCAGGGCTGTGAAAAAAAAAGTTTGCGGGAGCTTGATGAACGGCAAACGCGCCCTTTTACTAAAATCGTGGGGTTATAAAGAGGCAAAAATTTGGAGAAGCATTCCCAAACAATTTTTCGGAGTGCGTCTGACGCCACAGACTTCCATTCGAGATAAAAAATTTTGTGCCCCCCGTCCGGATACAAATCCAGGATGCACATCACATTGTTTGCTTTCTTTTCGACGCGGGTAACTTTCCCGAATTACTTGGAAAGCATTTTCCAGCATTTATGTGATGTCACCGGCACAGCCAAACGGCTTATTCGACAGTGGAATGAAGTCTGTCTTCGAAGTTGTTGTTTACAGTGAGAGTATAAAAAGGCAATCTGGTGAGTTTAGTCATTTTCTCAGGAGCCGAGTGCATAGGACTACACCATGATTGGCCGTAATCACTTCGTTGGTGGAGTCATACAGAGCGACTATGTTATGAATCAATTCAATGAAGCAGGTGCTCCACAAACCGGACGAGTTCATCGTTTGCATCTGTCAAGTAGAGGGCTCATTTCTGATGTTCCAGAAACGAGAGAAGACGAAGCGTTGAAGGTCACGCAGCCAGAAACTAGATCTCCGCTGCCACAACTCAATCCGCCATCATCTGTATGTCAAAAAGTCCCTTTTGAGCAAATTTAGATGCTAAGGGACCACTCAGAACTTAACCCACCAAAAGCATGACTTTCAAGCCCTTATAAGGCTCTTTTTCAGATTCCTTCTCAGTACATGGATCTAGATTTGCGCAGTTTTATTACGGTCAATCAGAACAGAAATTATCAGGCAAGTTGATTAACCAACTAACATCCTCCAACTGAGTCAATTCATTCCAGGATTATCCTTCAACGATTTGCCGCAAACCTTTGGTTGGACATCCGATTTCGGCCGATGAAATTAGGTAGTCTACCCAACATAATCCGCAGAAAATCCTCTGAAATTTCAAAATTTCAGAAGACGAGCTGATGCGCTTGACAATTCGGTCTACTCACCAGTTATCGTTAACGGAACGCTATACTTCCTGAATTTGGAGGACGATACTCGCACGGCAAAGTCTTCTATCAGTCTAGAGGATAATGTTCGCATGGAACAATACTAAAATGAAGTTTTATGTAAACAAAGTTTTGGTGTTCCGTTACAGTCGACAACATCAGCCACATCAGCAAGCAATGTGGATTTGAGTGACGTGACATTTACACTGGAGGAGTTGAAAGGGTTATTGCCGCAGTATGCCATAAAAAGACTCACCAATTATCATAAGGTCTGTATAACATCAAAGTAAACAGAACAGAACATGTCAAAAAGGGTGGGCAGGAAACTACCATGTAAAATTTTTATTTGAGGTTAACGTCCAAACTTGCTCGCGCCGATGTCGTGCCAGGACCGCTCCAAGCTTGCTCTAGCGCCGTGTCTGAATGCCCGTGATCCATACGGTCCACATAAGTTTTTGCACGACGCTAGCACGGCGCTAGCACGGCGCTAGAACGGCGTTGGAACGGCGTTGGCACAAAAACGAGGTACAAGCACTTTGGACGCTGCCTATTTGAGCCATAGCATAGCGTATTTATTCCTGAGAGGTTCTTTCAATTCAGAAGGAAGTTAAAAGGTTTTTTACGGATTCTATGAACGGCGAATAGTCTGTTATTAACTTTTCGTTGGATAATAAAATTTCACCAAAAAAATCACAAAGTTTTTGAATTTTTGAATTGCTGCGAAATCATAAGTGTAAGTATGATGCGACAGAAAGAGTACTGACCACTTCTTTTAGGATCATCCCGAGAGAAAGAAATGTAATGTTACTGATTATGATCTCATGAAACTGCAGGACGCAATCTCTACGGTTCGGTTTTTTTTTTGACAAGCCTTCAACTCAGTGATAACAATGACTGCTTGCAGATAGCTCGCTTTACGCAAAATACGTCTCATCCAGCGGTAATTTTGAGTTTCCTCAAATTTATGGCTAAAATTGCTCTTCAGGTGGAAGAAGTGAAGCCAAGCGACCCGGATTTTGCATATTTACGCGGAGCTCTAAATCTGGTGAGTACTTGTTGCGGTTTTTTGTGAAATAAAACTTTCGAATTCAGGTACGATCTGAACCTGTGCCTCAACCTACTACGGAAACTACCAAGCCTACCACAGCATCTACCACAACCATCACTTACACTGATGCTTATACGAAGCAAAGCGTCACGGGGTATATGATCGAAAGAAGTGTCAACCTAATAATTGATTTTCTTTTTTTGCTACAGAAATCCGACTTCAGAACAATCTTCAACCCTTAGCTCTGTCCCATTCGTGGGAGTAGCGGAACATGATATAGCGGAACAGCTAGCGTAAGAGCACAGAGGTAGAGATCAAGCAATCGCATATAAACTCTTTCAGAGCATCAAATGCTGAAACATCTGTGGATATGGATGTTCCTATTTCAAAGTGAGATTACATGTTTGTAAAACTTGGAACTATAACTATCACGCCTATTCCAGAAACATCACAGATGCGATACCTACTATAATCACGGCCACGGTACCGTCGAGCACTTCCAAGACAGAAACAGGGAATCAAATCTTCGACAACATAACCGTTAGCGAAGCCGATAAGTAATTTTTTCAGTATTCCCACCAAGAATTTTCGTTTCATTAGATGAGATAATGCAAGAAGTGTTATGTTTAGAACAAAGCCCGAATTACTTACGGAATGGGAACGTCTAAGCGAATATACAGCCAAAGATCAGTACGTTTTTCCAAGTCTTGGAACGAGAATCGCAAACTTTCTGCGATTTTTAGCAACGAACTCCAGACACCTGTTCTTTCGTGGAGCACTGATACTGCACATAGGTAATAAACGGTAACTGTGAAAATATTCTTTGACCCCTAGAATTCTTTTAGCTTCAACAACGATAAGATTCAGAAGACGTCAACGGAGGACAAGAAACTGAACGGAGAAAAAACGTAAGTTTCTCGTGCCAAAACGACAGCAAGATTCAACAATCCTTAATTCAGCGAGAGTAATCAAAATGTCGCGTTACGTATGGATTCACCCGAGAGAGACGTCTACACTGCTGTAACAATTGCGGATTAGATGCGCGGATTAGATGCAAATGCAAGAATATTGTAGATCATTCTCATCCTCGATCATTTTTCGTTCTATGAACATAATAATGTTCTAACGAGCAGTTTAGGCGTTGTTTCAATAAAACGTCAATTTATGCTCTGAAAGGTTCCGTTCAGTGTTTTTGAGAAGATTCTCAACTAGACGATTCTGAGTCTCAAACAAAGAACGCCAGATGCCATACTTAGGGTCACAGAGATAAATACCTATGTGAAGTTTACTATTTGATTTTTCGTGCATATCCATCTGACGCGGCTCTTCCTGACGTCTGCATAACCAAGTATAGCAGCTAACCAAATAGCCACATGTGCAAAACGTTGTAAACCAAAAAAGAGGGAAAATTCTATTCGCTTTGTTATTCAAAAGTTCCAAACTTGCTCGTCCTGTTTGGCTAGAACGGCATGTTACGTCACAAAACGAATAGAGCAAAGGTGCATGATCTAAGAAAGGGATCAAAAACTGATATAAGAAATTCTAGGTAATTGAGTAGAAAAGTACAGGATACCATGCTTCTTTACGAAAAATATTGGTCTCGAAATTACGACGCAAAAGAAACTGCTGTAAATTGTACAAAAAGAAGCAAGAAACGCACGGATCTTATCTCAAAGATATGAAATAATGAAAAACTTATCTGGACAAATTTATTCAGGGCCCAGTACCACTAATTATAGCATCCTAGAACAAAAATGAAAGGATTGATTGAAGGTCAAAATCTGTTAGGCGGTATGAGAAGATGGAGCAAAGGATGTGGAGCTGGAAATGACTCGAAAGGGATGTTTGCTACGTTTAAGGGACAATCATTTAGATAATTTAGTGATAAATTCAACTACGCTTGGACACGCTTAAGGCCTCGGACAAAGTTCACCGATTTGATCGTCGCGATTCAATCGCTACAGACAAGTTTAGTTACGAGTTCATTGCATGCCGATCTTCTTGTATCTCGGTTGTGATAGTTATTCAGAATTTGTCGTGTTGGAAAACTATCACAACCAAAATGCAAGAAGAACGACATGCAATGAACTCGTAACAGTTGTCTGTAGCGATTGAATCGCGACGACCAAATCGTGTGAACTCTGTCCGAGGCCTAACTGACTCAAAGCTACCGGCTTTCTGAAGAATAGCAATAACGATGAAAGATGAGCAATCTGAAGAGACTGAACAATGGCAAAATTTAAGCAGAATCTTTTTTCCATGATGGCCAATGGTGAAGGTTCATTGCATGATTCAAAATGGCAACAAATAATTTGCTCAGTGAAGACTGGATCACATGGTGGTAACCAGAACAAAGTTTCACATGTCACTAAGTTCACTCGGCTAGAATTTCGCAAACTTTTTCTGGATCATGCTTTTGATAAAACCTCATTTAATCATTTGAGAGCTTGCATCGTCCGCGCGCAGGTGTCGCGGATTGTGCGTTTTCTCAAGGTAGTCCGCTGCCGTGGCGCGGAGGATCCCAAAACGCCATTCCCGCGCTGCTCCGTCCACTCACAGCCGAGCGCCACCTCACTAAAAGGGGTAGGGGAACGAAAGCCGCCAGTTTGGGCCGCCTCCGTGGGCTGCTGGTCCTGGAACGACATGCAACAACATTGCGAAAGGACCAGTTGGCCGCGAAAGGCGGCTCAAACTGGCGGCTTTCGTTCCTCTACCCCACTAAAAGCAGTTTCGCCGTATGTACCAACTTGCAGCGTACGGCCTCCAACGTCTCCATACAGTCGATCGATCGAGCAGCGCCTTCCCCATCTCTCGCGTACATCAACATCTACCAGCCAAGGAGGACTGACTCCTGCGAGCTCACCCATGGTGCGCTCGCGCCTGACACATGTCGATGGATGCCGCCTCGGGGGTTTTCCTATTTGCTGGCCCGGATTGTAACATCTTTGGTCGGTTGTACTCATCCTGCGTGTTTGAGTGTAGGGGATATGTGCGGATAAGTGGTGGGCATTTAGCATATGTGTTATCGATCGGCGAAATGAGCCACAGCTCGACTGTAGCTCCGGGAGTATTTCATAACAACGGTGGTTATCATTATAGTTTTGTTTGAAACGATCGATCAGTATAAAGGCAGGCATATTGTATGGTAGTGCCTGGATTATAGTAACAAGCCCCACGTGTCCATAGTTGAGGGCAAGTGTTTCCTACCGCAAGTTTCGTAACAACCGGGTAGGCTGGTGGTAAGGGCCTCTATGTGTGCATGGCGTTGTAGTATTGTAGGCTTCCTGAGCATTCTCGCTGGTATCGCCACCACTGATGGTGGGACTGTTTCACGGAGGGGATCCGCGGCTCCTACCGCCGATGCAGGAGAGCTCCAACACCACTGACGTGAGCAGTTGGAGACCCAATCCGCAACAGCAGGTTAGTAAAAGCGAGTCAGTGGAGTAACGAGGGTCACGAATAATCAAGATAATGTTCAAGACTTTGAAAGTTTGAATCATTATGTGGAAATTTATGAGTAAGGTCAGTCGCGTAACAAGCGCCGCGAAATCAATTTCTGGTAAGCATACGAGATACGAAAAGGAAAGCAAGCATACTAAATTTTTAGGAAGGATTGATTAGCGTTACACTTAATTCAGAAATAAGTTTGTCTTTCTCCCTATCTTGAGAGAAATTTTCTCATACGCTAAAGGAAAGAGGAATTATGGGGACTGGTATACCTCATCTCAAACGATAGGTCGTTCAAATGTTAGCAAAAATAGCGAGATATCATCGAATCACGATTCTTGGCGGGGTTTTGCCAACTCAAAGCGTGGCGAATTTTGATAGCGAGAGAGTACGAAAAACAACGTTATGACGTAGAGGTTTAGCAAGTTCATCCTTAAAATTAGGGAAGGTCCGCAAACCGCCTCTAAACGAATCGTGGAGACGATCATACAAGGCAACACGAACGAAACAAACGAATTATTTATTGAGTCTACCAGTAGTGACATGGCTTCAACTCACTATGAGTTGTGCTGTGGAAGGGTGCATGTCTTACATGTCTTACATGTCTTGTCTTGTCTACTCATATCTTACATATCTTACATGTCTTCTCTGTCTTCATGTCTTCTGTCTTCTTCTTTCTTCTTATGCAAGTTACCACACGTCAAATCGATACGTATCAAACGTGTAGTCGCCGGTTTTACACGTATTTTTGCATAACGATCGTCGCCATGCTATACTTCTCGAGGAGTATAGCGCCTGCCTTAGGCTCCACTCTATAACGATCACCGACTTACGTGCTTACGAAGTCATTTTCTTAGGAATGTTCGCAATATGCAAAGGTCGCATGCATCGTCGAAACTCTCGAGAGTGGTTTTATATCACATATCTGCAAATCTTATGATCACTCCGCTCGTGGTCCTACCGTATTGGTATGAATACGTTAGGACCACGAGTGAATACGGCAGATAGATCTGAGCGCTAGTGCGAAGCTGCTTTGATGTCTAGTTAGGTAGCTGAACCCCACACAACTAACCTCAATACCGTAGGTTCTTTTGAGAGAAGTGAACACAAGACTTGCAAATAGCGTGATAGGTATCGTCAATGTGTGCGATCTCTACGTTCTGGTCATGACGCATTTCTTTGCACGAACGCGGCGACTGTTATAGAATGGAGCCTAAGACATGCACGCTTCCATAGCACCGTTCAAAGACTTTAACATCAAAAGACAGACAGGCAAGTTAAGCGTAGGCGAACTTACGAACATGCTCAGCTACAGCTCCTTCACCATATCTTTGTTAGAGGACCTGTATTCCGCAACCACCACATTCTCGTAAACGGCGTGTCCGAAAGCCTGTATGAGCGAACGAATGCAAGATCATCAATAAGCAATGCTCGTCAATATTTTGATCAAAACCCATCGGTGAGCTTCAGAGCGTAAAAGAAAAAAGTTAATTAACCCCAACTTCTTGGAAAATTTCGCGATATGTGATCCGCTGAATACGAAAATCACTTCTGCGGAGCCTCATATTCTAGGATTATGATGAATAGAATTTGGAACGACATGAATTTGCCAGAATTCACCAGCTCTTCTATCTTTTCTGAAAAGCAGTCTCAAGTTGCTTCTTAGCGCCCGATAATCTACGAAAACTGCACCATCAAATAGTGCTTATTGGAATCTAAATATGTGATGTGCTGCATTACATCCTTGTGAAAACTCAAACAGTCGAAGGGATACCTCCGGCGGGCATATGGCGCGAGTCTGCCACTTCACGCTCCGGAGCCCTGCCATTTCACGAATTTTTGTGCTCCGGGGCTCTCCCAAAAGTGGCGCATCTCCGGAGCAGAGATTTGAGCGTCGAGGGGTCCCATTCATTCACCGTGACGTCACGGTGACGTCACAAACGGGACGAATGGGACCCCTCTCCGCGACGCGCAAATCTCTGCTCCTCCGGAGATGCGCCACTTTTGGGAGAGCCCCGGAGCACAAAAATGCGTGAAATGGCAGGGCTCCGGAGCGCGAAGTGGCAATCCTCCGCTGGGGAAAGCCCGCGAACCTGCCACTTTTGCTCCGGAGGTATCCCATCGACTGTCTGAAAAGAGTCCTCAGAAAAATTTGAGAAAATTGGAAACAGAACAAGGACACGCTGTATATGGAAACGTTCTTGGATGAATTGAGCACAATTCTTTCGGATTTGGATTATATCCATTACGAACGAAGTTATGGCGCTGCTTAGTTTGCGTTTCGCATGATTCCGCTCAATTCCGAGAATGTCGCAGAATGCGCGGAATGCCGCGGACTTTCGAACAATTCTCGGAATTCCGCGACATTCTCCGAAATTTTGCACGTTCTGTGAGCGGTATCGTACATTCTACGAGAGAATTCAAATTGTCTTTGAAATTTATTCAAAATTGCCCACTGCGGCGGTATCTACTTTGCGGCACGAAGGCGGTAGCCTAGCGGTGTTCCGCATGGCGTTAATTCTTGCTTAAACCGCGACTAGAGTTGCCTACGCGCTGGCGCTGTGCCAGAGCCGTGCCGGAACCCGCCGCCGGAGATTCGATTGGAATTTCGAAAATACGCGATGCCTCCACTGCCAAAAATTTCAGAACCTCCTTTTTTTGCCTGAACTGTGTTATTCTCCTTTCTTGTCGTCTGCATCCATTTACTCT